CAGGTGGGGTTTTAACCTCAACAGAGGCCTACAGGTTGAGGTTTGAACCTCAACAAAGACTTACAGGTTGGGGTTTGAACCTCAGCAGAGACCTCCAGGTGGGGTTTGAACCTGAACAGAGACCTACAGGTGGGGGGTTGAACCTCAACAAAGACCTACAGGTGGGGGTTGAGCGAGTCCTGATTATTCCATGGCTGCTCAGCAGACAAAAATAAATGGTCACAAAAAGAAGACCAATCTCTGGGTCACATCTGGAACTGTTTACTGGTCAGATAAGAGTCTAGGGCCCAGTTTAGGCTGCCACAATATCTCTGAACAAAAAGTCCAACCTAGTCTTACCCCCACCCCCTCTGGTCCCTTTGAGTGGCCCTCCATCCTGTAAACTGTGAAAAGGAGTGCCATTCTGCTGCTGTTACATGTTAATAATGCATGACTGAACACGTTAGCGGGACTAACTAATCACTTGTTAGAGAGTGTTTGTGCAATCCACACAGACATGCAGTGGTGCAAAGGCCCCCACAGTCAGTATTAGTCATGGTTAGAGGGAAACTACCTGTAAAGAATAGAAATCGTTAAGACAGAAATGTGAAAGGGGAGGGGTTTGGAGGCATTCATCTGCAATTATTACCTGCTCAAGAAAGACAAAAAGTATTACACCAACATAAAGGTTAAATATCATTAAAAAAAATTTAATTGGTAAACTGAGATGAAAGCACACTAAGAAAACTTTTTCAGCAGAAGAAACAGAAGTATTAAAGTCAACAGGACTACAAAGAACTTGACACCAACCTGACACCAGGCAACAAGGTTTTATAACTTCTCCAGGTTCTGCAGAACACTTTGAGATAACCTCATTCACTCATTCATACCCACAATCATACAGTACTTTTCATTTAAATTCTTTTATATACTATATAGTGAACTTTTATATTCTAACTCTTTCCCCAATAAGCACATCAGTGAGAGTTGGAAGTATAGTGTTTTGCTCATGGACATGTGGGCACACAGCAGGGGCTGGGATAAAACCCCGCAACCCTATGATCAGAGGACAACCACTTCATTCATTAGTCCAGGCTGCGTCTAAACACACAGTATTACTTGTGAGTACTCTTCAAGACCATCAACTGGGAAAAAATAACTAAAAGTACTCCATATCATAGACACTACTGTAAAAATATAGCTTTAACTCTGAGTACTACTTCACAATGAAGGCACTGGACTGTAAAAATAAAGCTGTAACTAGGGTTGAACGATTTTGGAAAATATTCTAATTGCAATTTTTTAACTTCAATATTGCGATTTAATATGCGATTATTTTTCTATGTCTTCTTCTTGTGTATTTTTCAATGAAGACGAGCAATAAATCTGTTTCAGTTACAAAAAACTCCACTGTTTTCAGCTTCGCTGCAACTCTTGCTTCTGCATTTTTTTTGTGTAGCTCCAGGATAGCAACTTGGCTAAAATGTGTGCGCGAGGGCATTCAGTACCGCTTATCCACTGTGTTTACCAAAGCAGTAAACCCAGGCTTGGTCACTATATTAATGGGCATCATGGCTTTCACTATGAACTCCGTTGCTGCTCGAGTTATTTCCGTGTGCAGTTTTGAATTATGTTCATACAAAGTAATACCTTCGAACAGTTCGGTCAGTGATCCCTGTCGGCTGGTACTTTGCTTACTTGAAGCTGAAGCACTGGTTGATGGCATTCTAGCCATGCAGCCATCGTAAATGGCTTTGTGGTGTTTTTTTTAAGTGTCAATAAAGATTTGTGGTCTTACCTCGAGAGGTAGCAACAGCAGCAAGGGAGGTTCTGCACAATACATGTCGTTGCACAGCGTCTTTTTTTTATAGCCAAAATAATTCCAAACAACGGACGTGCTGCCCCTCTTTGGTACCAAACTTTCAGATGTGTCAGCTTCTGCCGAGCCTGACACATTTATACAACCGGTTAAAGCGCAGTGTTGACTTCTCCCGCTCCCTGCTTTGCTTCGATCACTCGCAAGTCACGTGACCAGTCAAACTGCAGCCTTTGCAATTAGAAAACCTCGTTTTATTGTATCACAATATTATTGCAAATGCAATTAAATGTTCAGCCCTAGCTGTAACCCAGTAGTACTCCTTCATTTCAAAAACAGACAGTAAAAAATATAGCTTTAACTCAGAGTACTACTTCACACTGAGGGCACTAGACAATAAACGTATAGCTTTAACTTAGTATCACTTCACCTTGTAGGCACTAGACAGTAAAATATAACTTTAAAGCAGAGTACTACTTCACCCTGAGGACAGAAGACAGTAAAAACATGGCATTAACTCTGAGTACTTTGTCTCGAGGTCATCATTAAGCACAGGCCTGATGATAGAGAAGCTTGGAGGTTCATGATGCTGCAGTGCAGCCCCCTCCACTCCCACCTCATCCTCCTCTCTGATTCACAGGTTGAAGAGCTGTGAGAAAACTCTCCTGTCCCAAAGGCTGCTGGAAATCACCTCACACACACAAACACACAAAGACCGATAGATGCACGATCAGCTCCCCCACAACTGTAAGAACACCAACACAACTAAACAAGTTTTGCCTTTCTTTCTTCAACTCACTGCTACATTTCTCATCTCTTCCTGTCGTGTCTAAGACCCAAAGGGCAGAAGCAGTTGAACAGGATTGTTTATGATGCTATCTACATGCTGTAAGCTGATTTTAAAAAACAATAAGAGCTTACAGGTGGAGAACCTTAACTAACGTAGGTGCTGGCTCCTGTAGCGGTCTCCTTGTTGAGCAGCGGTGTATTCTCCATGATTAGGGGCTAATTATGTTGACCGACAGTAATCTTATTAAAGAATCAGAGAAGATGAACTTTCAAAACATTACTAGTTGTATATTTGGTTATTGACTTGTCTAGGTCTGAGAATCTAACTTGGAACAATGATAACTGGTTTTGGGAGACTGCAGACCGTAAACAGACTTCCTAATGACATTAGTGCTAAATCTTATAATTCAAATCATCCGTCAAACAACAAACTCCAGCAGAAGAGAACGACGACTATTATCCAACTGTTAAACCCCACAGTGACAGAAGGTCCATCGCTTGTCTGCTTCTTCAGTGCTGAATGTTATTATCAGAATAATAACAGTTTTTATGGATATTTTAACAATTCAATTCAGTTTATTTCTATAGCGCCAAGTCACAACAGAAGTCATCTCAGGGCACTGAACAGAAACATTCAAATAACAATAAATAAGACAAGGATGGACTTTTTCATTCTGATGTCTGTGGTAAGATGACAAATCTATAAATGGGGCACAAGAAAAAGTGAAAAATCTTAATATATATACCGTATACATGTATTTTTTAGCAATTTGTGTTACTTTCTGTAACACAAATTGCTAAAATAAATAAACATGTCCAGGTTAGTGCTCAAACTTTGGCTAGAATATAACTTTACAGCAAAGAACAGTTGTAACCTTTTCACATTACCAGAGAAGGTTTGTTCAATTTATTTTAACTTAATTTTGTATTTTGCTTAAAATACAGGTCAGTAAGAAAATGAGCAAGAACATGTTCTTTGAACAACGTTCCACATGTCTCCTGTCACTGAGTGATCTGAACAGTGAATGTTTGTAGTTTTCTAGAGGAGTGTTTTTCTGGGCTCAAACAGAACAGAAAAATGAAAGTGAACCTTAATGTTTGTGGTGCAAGATATTCAAGTGCGTAGAAGTACAGGTGCCATCTTGGATTTTGATGTGACGACCCAGTTTGTAGTGATTCTTTTTACACACCAAAATGGGAGTCAATACTGCATTTACTTTCCAAGTCATCATGCTCTCAAGATGGACGAACAGACAGAGGGTATTTACAATTCCCCCTCTTCGCTTTGGGACGGGGGACAAAACCTTCATCCAGCTAAAGAGGGTCAGAGAGTCACAGCCACCTTGTTGTTTCCACCATCTTGAAAAGACCCACCAAGTGACCTCATCAAGTGATAGCTTGTGTGTTGTGTTTTTGATCAGACATGTATCTGTGCTCAGCCTTTGCATGTCTGTACACTTTGTGCGTTAGTGTGTGTTAGTGTGTGTTAGTGTGCGTGTGTGTATACATCAAGTACATCCATCCACGGCGCCTCAGGGTGCACTTCTTCCTGTGTGGATGTACAACAGAGTAGCTGCTGAGTTTAATCTCAGCATGTCTACTAGTGCATGAAAAAATAAGACTAGTGAATGAAAGTGCATTGCTGTGTGAGTTTGTGTGTGCTGGGAGTCATAAGAGGCAGCCCTTTCATATCCAACAATAAAACTGGTTATTGAGAAGCAGAGAGGAACGTGTCTCTGCATCTTGTCCTCCTGCTAGCAGGAAGGACGACGTGAGGGAAAATGGGCTCCTTAAAGCTGGACTGTGTATTGTGTTGGATTTTAATGGAATGAATTTAACATTCCCTTTTCTGTATAATCACACAAATAAAGTATTTTCATAATTCAAGTGGTCTTCACCAGGTCACTGGGCTTGTTACAAGATAAATAAAATCTTGGTAGATACTGATAAGAGGGCAGCTGGTTGTGAATTTTGTGTTAGGAGCTCAAACTGAAACTGAAACCTGACGGTAACATGATGAGCATCAGATTCACCAGATTTGTTGTCGCAGAAATCAGATTTAGGTGTGTCCTAAACCTCCTGTGCAAACTGGCATCACTCAGACGCAGACCTGCTGACTCAGATCCAGGAGTTTATGAATGGGGTGCGGCTCTGAGCAAACAACTGATGACATGGAAAATAAATCACTTCCCTCTCCCACTCCTGCTCCCCCAAACTGGAATTTTGCGTAACTCCTGTGAAATGTACAGGAGCAGGAAATACAAGCCATCCTTTTCTCTGAGGCTGAGAAAAAGTGAAGAGAGAACGAGGGGGGTGGAGACGCTGGTGGACGAGAGCGAACGAAGAAGACACCGACGTTTTAAGAACAAGAGTCTAAAGTGGAAAGAACAACACTAAGAAGGTTGAACATGTAAACTGACAGCTGAGGGTGATCTGCCAGAAATAAATGAGTTTAATCAGACACTAATGCAGATGACAGGAATGAACTGCGACGGAGTGTCCTCATGCCTGGAGGAACAGACTTTAGTTTGTTTGGAAACCTACCGTCTTAAGGCGCTTCACTGCATCCTCACAGATGTGCATGCCTCTGGATTCCTCTACTTCCACATGCCCCAGGTACTGCACAGCAAACAGAAGACATAAAAACAGAAACTTAGCATTTCACAAACTTTCCGTCTTTTTCCATCTAAGGTTTAACAATGAAAAGCCAAAGACGGACAGTGAGAAGCCAGTATGATGATTGTCACAAGTTTGTGGTGAGTGTGTAATGTTTCTTCTTTGAAGCTGTACTTTACTTCACAATAAGTAGCAAAAATATGTCACTCCCAGACTTTTCATATTACGAGGAGAAAGTTGCTTCATGTTAAAACAGTTTATGTGTGAAAACATATCAGAGACTGAGTCGAACATGTGGAGAATCAAAAGAAACCTGGTCTGCGGTGACACATTCACACAAATATGGGTTAAAGCGCAACTGAATACAAATGAAATGCTGCTTCCAGTCCAGATACACCTCTCACATGTCTCCCCCCTCCTCAAGGCTGCTTCATATGTGTCACTGCACTCACAACCCTGACGTCCTCAGAAGCCATTGTTCATGCAGCACCCACAAGGAAGTCCTTACCCTTTCCTTATACACACAAAACGTACACACACACACACACACATGCTGCTGCTGACCCCCGCCTGTCATGCCCCACCCTCTGGCCCTGCTATTTTAGGATGGTGACGTAACAGCTGCGCGTTACACTGTCAAATGTTTCAGATACACGTTTATGCATTCATCCACAGATATCCAGAGATGAAAAAAAAACAGAGGATGTTGAGGAGACAGCTGTGGGCAACTGCAAAATGTTGGAGAGATTGAGTAAATGCAGGGAAGGCTCAATTCAATTCAAATGGCACAAACAGAGTAATATTGTGTATGCTGTTCAGTGTCAGGAGGAGATCAGTCATATGTGGGGGAAACTAAACAGCCACTGGCCAAAAGGATGGACCAGCACAGAAGATCAACATCATCAGACCAGGACTCTGCGGTCTACACTCATCTCCAGCGGTCACTCGTTCAGAGATGAAGATGTTCACGTCCTTGATAGAGAGGAACGATGGTTTGAGAGAGGAGTAAAGGAGGCCATCTTTGTGAAAAGAAACCGTCCATCATTAAACAGGGGCGGAGCCTCCGTGTTCAACTGTTCCCCTCCTACATTTATGCTATTGCTAGTATCACTCAGCTCTCTGTGAATATCAAGCGGCCATCAGGGCACTAACGATCAACTGTTAGGCTGAGACTCCTCCTATAACATGTAAACAGCTAGTTTATATTTTTTAATTCATATATATATATATATATATATATATATATATATATAAAGTTGTTTTAAATCCTTCCCACGCTCTTGCAATACTCTAAACAGTGTCTCTAAACTCTAAACGCTCTAAAAGGGTACAAGATGTCATGATTTTAGCTCCGTGCCTCGTCCAAGTAGGTACCTCTGCAGACAAATACAGAAGGCGTATCTGGAGGGCCACATCTGATTGGACGAACAAAAAATGGCTGGACAACAAAAACAAACAAAGCATTTGTGTTAACCACAGACATATTATGTCTATGGTGTTAACCGGTTCGACATTAGCAGCGTCTCCATAACTTCTCTTTCTGCCTCTCTTAACAGAGAACTGCCGGTTACATTTCAAAATAAGAGCAACATAAAATGTCCAACATCTGTTGGACACCTGGCAGGAACCAATGCAGACATGTTCCTGTTTTTAGTTTTCTACATTCGGCTTGTAACTAGCTGTTTTTGCTACTTTTTGCCATCTTATTTTAATATGTAAAAAAAAAAATAAAAAAAAATCTGTATGCCTCTTTTATAATTGTCTATTGTTGTCATTGTTGTCCACTGTTGTCATCATTCTTTGTTGAAATCGGGTCTCTCTTGTAAATGAGTCCTCCAGGCTCAGTGGGATTAATCTGTATAAATAAAGGTTGAATGAATGAATAAACGGGTAGTGGGGAGGACTAAATGTTTGTTTTTAATACCTAGCCATTACATTAAAAAATAAAATAAAATCTGTTTTGGTTGTTGAATGTGAAAATGCAATCAATTCATAAAAAAAGAAAAATAAAGTAACCAAAATAATAATGAACTGGCTCTGGGACAAAGGATGTCTCCTTTAACTTCACATTTTCTTGTTCAACCTGCAGTCACTGCAGATGAGTGATTGTCAGTTTCTGTCAGATTTCTGCAACTGGAGCAGGTATTCTGTTTACTGGTTAACTTCCTCGGCTGTTTCACATTTTAAGGGTCAATCCTACTCCATGTTTCAGCTCCTTTCATAGATCAGACCTCATAGAAGAACTAGAGAACATTTTGTTTTTAGCTTTTGTTTTGGGCCATTATCTCATTACAGGACTCATGGTCTTTAATTGAGAGCTGATGTGACCTTCACAGTGACGCCATGTAAAACAGCTGGGGGGGCTTTTACACGTTGATACAGAGCTCTGTCAAATCATTGATCATTCTCTCCCTTTATTTTTCTCAGATAATAACTAATAAATGATTCTTTAAATTCAGGTAATTCAGCTTACTGGCCATCTGCCCATCCTGAGCCTGGTTCTGGTTCTGCTGGAGGTTTCTTCCTGTTAAAAGGGAGTCATTGCTTTCCACTGTCGCCAATGTGCTGCTCAGGGTGGGAGTCAATCTGCCGATCTTGTTGTGCTATTTAAATAAAAATGACTGTTCTGGACAGAGTTAATGTTAAAATAATGTAGTTCACGTCTGAATGTGTTGTAGTCTTTACAGAAATACCTTCAGACCTGCTGATGTCCTGTTTGTTGCTCACCGACAGCCCAACGTGTGATATGAGAATCTGTCGACACAGCTAACACAGCGCTTCATTTCAGGCCACACATTTAACTACCAAATGTGAGCCGAGGCTTCAGAACCGCCTACATGCAGCCAAAGCGCCTGAAACTGTTTCTAACCAGCAGAAGTGAGGAGTCCCTGGCACGCTGAACTGTAGGAGTTTTGTTTCTTTTCTAAAACATTTCTTTAAACACGGCAAAGACAGCAGATCTGACAGAAAAAATAAAAATAAAAACCTATTGGTACATTTTAATTTTCCGAGATGTTCACAAAATTAAAATGTGAAAGAGCTATAATTAGTTTTTCTGTCGGGTTTCATTTGTTCACACACCTCTGTTTATTATTACTATTAATAATACGGTAATAACTAGAGAAACGTCAGTTCCTGTGAACATGCAGAGTGAATGCTCATTGCTGAATGATTTCTGCTGAAAAGGTTTAATCACTGAACTGTTATGCGAGTTGAATTTGAACAGCTGACATTTGCTGAAAGCAGAAAAATAAAAGCTGCTGAATAAAAGTGGAAAAACATCAGAAATGTGGAGAAAAAAGCTGAACAGAGCAGAAATGAACAGAAGTTGAAATAGGCAGAGAGGCTGACTAGATTACAAAAAAATCTGAAACTAAAATGAGCAGAAAAAACTGAAACTGTTTAAAAAGACAGTGTCTGAAGAAGCAAAAAAGGAGCTAAAATTAGCAGAAAGATGCTAAAAGGAGCAAGAGTTTCAACTATAAAAATTACAAAAGGTAGAAATAAAAACAAAGCAGAGGAAGGTTAAATTTAGCCGAAAGAAGCTGAAAAAAGAACAAAAAGGCTGAAAGTTTTCAGATATGAATTGTTGAAATAGCACAAAAAAATATTTTGTATATTGGCAGAGATAAATATGCTTATTATTCTGGTGCTTTTATAGAAAAGGGTTTGATTAAGATCCTAAAGTCTAAACTTTAATCTACCCAGACATGAGGGAACATATTTATAATAAAATAACTGTCTTTAGATTATTCTGACTGCAGTTTGTCTAAAGTCTCGTTTTAACTGCAGATTATCTCAACATACATTAACAATCCAAACTTTCTGCTCCAGAACCAGCAGCCTCTCCACTGGAACCAACATCTCTGTCTAAAAACTGAATTATTTGCATTCTTTACTTGATTGTTCATCTTCGTTAATGACCACCACCTCCTTTTCAGGAAAATATCTTGTATTTAAGCAGCTAAATGATCATTAACGGTGTGTTAATCAGCAGTTTTTATTCATTTTTTATTTTGGACAGCTCCCCTCCACACTCTGATGCTCAGAGACTGAACTGATCAAACTGACTGAACAAGTTTTAAAACATGTTTAGAACACGGTGGTGCAGTGGTGCAGGGCTGTTTAAAATCCAGCCGCAGCCTCTCTGTGTGGAGGCAGGCACCAGATACTGTACTGTACTGTTAGTGCAACCCAAAAAGAAAAAGACAAAGAAAAGAAAAAGAACAAATGGATATTTAGTATTCTGGTCTTTTGAGTTCTTTGAGAGATAAAACGGCATAAAGAACGTCCGGCTCAGAAGGTCAGAGCTGCACAGGAACCAAAAGGAAAAACTGGAATCATTTACTTATTAAAAGCTGGGTTGTAGTGTTAAACAATTTACTTATTTTAAAAGGAAAATAACTTTTGTGGCTGAAACAATCTCAGATTTGATCCCAAATCAAGTCTGAACATGGAGAAGGAATGTGCTGATCAGGTCTGTGAGGTGCTGGCAGACATCTTTAACACCTCACTTACCCTGGAGACAGTTCCCACCTGCCTGAAGACTGCCACCATCATCCCGTCCCAAAAAGCTCTACAGTGACTGGTCTGAATGACTATCGGCCAGTGGCCCTCACCCCGATAGTCGCTAAATGCTTTGAAAAACTGGTCATGACTCGCATCAAAACAACCATCAACATCAACGAGGACCCTCATCAGTACGCATACCGTGCGAACCGATCAACAGAGGATGCCATCTCCTCTGTGGTCCACACTGCGCTCAACCACCTGGAGCAGAAAAACTCTTACGTCCGTATGCTCTTTGTGGACTTCACATCCGCCTTCAACACCATGATCCCCCAAACCCTGATGGACAAACTATCCACACTAGGACTAAGCCCCTCCATTTGCAACTGGGTACTAGACTTTTTAACAAACAGACCACAGTTAGTGAGGATCCACAACCTCTCCTCCTCCACCATAACCCTCAGCACTGGCTCTCCTCAGGGATGTGTGTTGAGCCCCCTCCTGTTTACTCTGCTCACGTATGATTGTGCAGCTACCCATCCAGGCTGTCACATTGTAAAGTTTGCAGATGATACAGCGGTGGTGGGATGCATCACAAACAATGATGAGTCCAGCTACAGGCAAGAGGTGGAACACCTGGAGAGCTGGTGCAGAGAGAATAACCTTCACGTCAATGTGAAGAAGACAAAGGAGATGATTGTGGACTTCAGAAGGAACAAAAACACCTACACCCCCCTGAACATAAGAGGATCTGCGGTGGAAGTGGTCTCCAGCTACAAGTACTTGGGTGTACACATGAATGACAACCTCAGCTGGAGCAACAACACCACCAGCCTGATCAAGAAAGCTCATCAGAGACTCTACTTCCTCAGACGGCTGAGGCGAGCTGGTCTGGGAAGCTCAGTCCTCACCTCCTTCTACAGGTGTGCAGTGGAGAGCATCCTGTGCTCCAGCATCAATGTGTGGCATGGAGGCTGCACAGCTGCAGAAAGAAAAGCTTTGCAGAGAGTGGTGAAGGCTGCACAGAAATCTGTTGGAATCAGCCTCCCCACCATCACAGACATCTACACCTCCAGATGCAGGAAGAGGGCCACCTGCATCATGAAGGACCCCACTCACCCAGCACACACACTTTTTGCCCCACTCCCCTCAGGAAGGAGGCTGAGGAGCATTAAGTGTAGAACCACTAGACTGAGGAACAGCTTCTACCCTGAGGCTGTTAGACTCATGAATCTCTAACTAGAATAATCACTGAG